GGGGGAAGACCCTAAATGAAATGGATTGACAAAGTGACTACAACTTTGACAAGGATAATGAGGACAATGACAAGGATACTGAGGAGGGCTCAGGATCAGGCTGTGCTTCATTCTGCTATACACAGGGTTGCTATGAGTCACAGCTGAGTCAATGGCATCTAACAACAATGGCTAATGATATTGCACATCTTTTCATGTGCTTATTGAACATCAGAATATCTTTTTTGGTGACCTTTCTGTTCAACCAGGTTGTTTTTGTTATTAAGTTGTAGGGTTTTTTTTTTTTTTTTTTTAAATATATGTATTTTGGATATTAGACCTTTATGTGATAAATGGTTCCTGAAAATATTGTCCCAATATATAGGTTCTCTTTTCACTTTTATGATAAAAAGTCCTTTGATGAACCGAAGTATTTAAATTTTAAGAAGTTCCTTTGATCCAATTTTCTTTTATTGCTTGTGCTTTTGTTGTATCTGATCATCTATCCTAAAAAACTAGGCGCAGCAGGCATGCCCCTACATTTTCTTAGTATTGTATTGTTTATTTTTCACATTTAGGTTTTTGATCTATTTTGAATTGGTTTATGTATATGGTGTGAGGCATGGATCCTGATTCAGTCTTCTGCATGTGGAAATTCCACTTTCCCAGTACCATTTATTGAAGAAACTCTTCCTTTATCATTGAAGGTCCACTGTGTGGACTTAGCACCCTTGTTGAAAAGATGACCATAGATATATGGATTTATTTCTAGACTCTCAAATTCTATTCATTTGGTCTATACGCCTGTTATTGCAGTAGTACCAGGGTGTTTTAATTAATGGACATTTATATAGTATGTTTTGAAATCAGGAAGTGTCAATTCTCCTACTTTATTGTTCTTCAAGATTGCTTAGCTACTCTGGGTCCCTTGTCCTCCCAAATGAATGTGAGGATTGGCTTTTCTATTTCTGTAAAAGTTATTGGAATTTTAATGGGGATTACATTGAACTTAAAAAAATGCCTTAGGTAGTGATGACATCTTAACTATATAAAGCCTTCCAATGTACATACAGGAGCTCTGGTAGCATAGTGGCTAAGGCACTTGACTGCTAAACCAGAAGGCTGGCGGTTCAACCCACCAGCCACTCCTCGGAAGGAAGATGGGGCAATCTACTTCCGTAGTGATACTGCCTTGGAAACCCAAGAAGGGGTCGCTATGAGTCAGGACTGACTCGATGGCACATAACAACAACAAAATGTACATATGTAGAATACTCTTCAATTTATTTAGGTTTTCCTTAATTTCTTTTGTTTTCTATGAACAAGTCCTTCACCTTTCTGGTTAAATTTATTCCAGGTTACTTTATTTTTTAAAATGTAATTGTAAATGGTAATGTTTTCTTAAATTTCTTTTTCTACTTGCTCATTGCTGATGTATAGAAACCTAACTGATTTCTGTGTGTTGATCTTGTATCCTGTTACCTTGCTGAATTCATTTATTAGTTCTAATAATTATTTTGTAGATTCTTTGGGGTTTTGTATGTATAAGACTGTGTCATCTGTGAAAGGGATAGTTTTACTTTCTTGTTCTCAATTTAGGTAACTTCTTTCCCCACCTAGCCTAATCGCTCTGGCTAGCCAAGTGTGATTTTAAATAAATATTCTTAAACTGTACAACTGTGTATAAAATATGCATTTTAAACGTATTCTCATTTTGAAAATTTTACACAATCCAGAAGCACAGTAAAAACTTGCAAGTCTTTCAACCCTCCCTGTTTTCTAAATTCCACTTTGTTCCTCAAATATGCTAAAATTCTGCAGTGAATTTCCCAATATGTATGGTTTTAAAAGTGGAAAAAGGAATATAGAAGTTGAAACAAATTTTCAAAAGACTTCAAAAAAGAACAGTGGTTAAAATAAGGGATTCCCCCACTACTTCTAGTCTGTCCTCTAATATCTATGCCCCTCCTACTCCAGTACTGCTAAAAGGGCATACAGGTGGCATCCTCTGACCTCCTCTAACTTCACAAGGTGTTGTTGTTATGTACCACTGAGTCAGACCTGACTCATAGTGACCCTTCCTTGGGTTTCCGAGGCAGTATCACTACGGAAGTAGATGGCCCAACCTTCCCTCTGAGTGGGTGGTGGGTTTGAACTGCCAGCCTTCTGGTTAGCAGTCAAGTGCCTTAGGCACTATGCTACCAGAGCTCCCTCACTTCACAAGAGGTAGACACAATCACCATCAGCAGCCCAAGGCTTATTCCCATGAGGCCAGACATGTTGCCACCGTCTAGCCTTTTACCAATTCTGACATCAACCATCCCTCCCACGGTACTCACTTCTCTGCTGCATTCAGTAATATGCTACAATGGCCACACAGAACTCACAGACAATACTCATGACTGTGGGGTTTATTAGAGAAGTAATAGGCTACAATTCAGGTTGAGGAACATGCTCAGGATACAGTTCTTTTTCTCTTAAATTTTAAGAGGTCCCATTGACCCTATTTTGTCTTTTACTGCTTGTGCTTTTGCTATACCTGATAATCCATCCTTAAAAACTAGGCCCAGCAGGCATGTCCTGATATTTTATTCTAAGTATTTCATTGTTTATTTTTCACATTTAGGTTTTTGATCTATTTAGAATTCGTTTATGTGTATAGTGTGAGGTATGGATCAATAATCTCCCTCTCTGCTGTGCCCTCAGGCTGGCCTCTCTGGCCCTTGGCCTCTCAGCTTGCCCTCTGGCCTGCATGGGCAAATGTTATAATACAAAGTTCTTTTAGTTCTGCTGATAGGTACACTGGGAGGTATGGTAGCCTAGTGCCTAAGGCATCTGACTGCTAACCAGAAGGCTGGCAGTTCAAACCCACAAACCACTCTTTGGAAGGAAGGCTGGGCAATCTGCTTCTGTAGTGATACCACCTCTGAAACCCAAGGAGGGGTCGCTATGAGTCGGATCTGACTCAATGGCAGTGAGTTTGGTTTTGTTTTTGATTGATAGGTACACCTAGGTGCACCCCACTTCCGCCAGCAAACCTCCTGCCCAAAGGCACTCATCTTCATCACTCTGTGGGCCAGGTAAGCCTGCCATTCTGTCTTGTGCCTCTTGGTTCCACTGTGGCTGTGTCTCTGCCAGGCATCTCTCTCTGCCATGTGTCTCTGCCAAGGAGGTCCAGTGCAGGGATCTCTGGTCCAAGGACGCACTCTATTTCACCTCTAACTCTTCTCTCTTGATGACAATGAAAAGGCCCCTCTGCCTCCAAAAACAAAACCAAACTCACTGCCATCGAGTCAGATCTAACTCATAGTGAGCCCTCCTTGGGTTTCCGAGGCAGTATCACTATGCATATAGATTGCCCAACCTTCCTTCTGAAGAGGGCTAGTGAGTTTGAATCGCCAGCCTTCTGTTAACAGTCAAATGCCTTAGCCACTGTGCAAAACTAACCAATCCCAACATCAGAGTATATACCTTATTTGCGTGGTCCCACCCACTAATCCAATGAGAGTTACAAAGACTAAGGCTAGAAAAGCCATACCAAGTAATTCATTGCACCACAACATGTACATGTACAAACACTATTATTAGGAAGGGTAAGTCTGAACTGCTAAATAGAAGAGAAAAAATTAATTATGCTTTACATCTCCTGGTTGAAAATACAAGAACCGTAGTTAATTGCAATTTATACCTGTTTAACTTTAGTTCAACTTCAGAGTTACTCAAGGCCCTTTTTGGAAGTCTGTTGGCCAGAAAATTATGTTTAATAATATCACAATTACTCAATCTACCCTTGTAAAATAATTTACTGACTCCTTTCCCACTTCTTTCTTTCTCATAATACTCTTCATATCTGCAAAATTACTGGGTAAATGAGATAAATTAAAAACCCAAACTCACTGCCACAGAGTCGGTTCCAACTCACAGCGACCCTTCCTTGGGTTTCCAAGCTGGTATCTCTATGGAAGTAATTGCCAGCCTTCTTTCTGAGGAGTGGCTGGTGGATTTGAACTATCAGCCTTCTGGTTAAGAGTCATAAATGCCTTAGGTACTATGCCACCAGAGCTGGGTAAAAACTGTGTATTTCATAGTTTCATATTCATCACACACAATTTAAAATGTTATTTTATTACTGACATTACTGTCTTAGAAAATCAAAGAGATACCAATCTTTAAATTAGCCAAGTTTAAAAGAATGACATCATGAAGGATAACATTATTTTTAACCTGTTTCAGCCATACTAAGAAGTCAATAGATAAAGTTTACTTTACCTCTATTATCTCTTGGAGGAGGGTCATTCTTAATAGCAGCCACAGTCCGACGATTCTATTAAAAGGAAAAATATCCATGATATTTTCTTTCTATATGCATACATACATCAGCTTCTTTTAACTAAGGCAGGCAGAAATACAATAATATAAACCTGAATGGAGAAAGAAAAACGATGAATAATCTAATGAACTACTACTTCTAATGCTATTATTGTTCAACTTTCTTTATGTAAGAGACTTTTTTTTTTTCTATTCATCATTCCCCCCACCCTCAATATTCAGGAATCAGCATGAGGTAGACACTGCTAAGCACTTTACATGCATAATTAATTTAATGTTCACAACCTATGAGGATATTACTATTATTATTCCTGTTTCATAGATGAGCAAACTGACGCAAAGAGAAGTAACTTCCCCAAGTTCAGATATTCTCATTATAGTGCCTGCTTTTAATCACCATGCTATCCTGCCAAAAGCATGTAACAAATTTCATCTTTGAGTATCAGGGAATAGTTAATAAAACACTAGTTTTGAGTATCAGGGAATAGTTAATAAAACACTAGTTTTGGACAGCTTAGAGCCCATAGCTAAACTGAAATATCAAAATACTATGAAATGCTCATTGTCAGTTATCCTAAAAAGGTTTTGTTGGCTTTCCAAAGACTTAGATACTACATAGGTCAAGGCAGAAATGGCGCAGTGCATAAGGCATTTCACTGCTAACCGAAGATAAGTGGTTTAAATCCACCAGTTGCTCCGTGGAAGGAAGACGGGGAGATATACTTCCATAAAGATTTATAGTCTCAGAAACCCAATGGGGGTTACTATGAGTTGGAAATGACTCGATGGCACTGAGTTTGTTTTTTTTTGGTTTTGGTATTATTTATTTATCCAGATTTTATTTGTTCACCTGAAAAAAAGGTATCAACTAATGTAGTGATTCTCAACTCTGACTATACATTTAAATCAGATGGGTACTATTAAAAGGATATTGATGCTACTGTCTCCCTTTAGATCAAATAAACTTGAATGTCAAGGGGTAGGGCCTCAGAATCAGTATTTAAAAAATTTTTTCCAGGTAATTCTAATGTGCAGCAAAGGTTACTAATGATATACTAGGAAAGTCAACCTATGAAAATCTTCCAAAGCTTTTGAAGATGACCATGAAAAACAGCCCACTTATAAGTAGTAACGAGCCCTAGTGACACAGTAGTTAATACTTGGCTGCTAACCAAAAGGTCAGGGGTTCAAATTCATAAGCTGTTCCACAGGAGAAAAATGTGGCAGTTTGCTTCCATAAAGATTACAGCCCCAGGAAACCCTATGGAGCAGTACTAACCCATCCTACAGGATCTCTGTGAGTTGGAATACACTTGACGGCATACAACAATGACTTCTAAGGAGGCTCTGGTGATGTAACCACTAAGCACTTGACTGCTAACTGAAAGGTTGGTGGTTAGAACCTAACTCAGTGGCTTCATGGAACAAAGACCTAGCAATATGCTCCTGTAAAGATGATCGCCAAGAAATTCCCGTGAAGGCTTTTCTAATGTTAGACAGGGTTGCTATGAGTTAGGATCAACTTGATGGCATCCAACAACTGATGATCTCTAAGTAATGACTGTCAATATACTTAATATGAACTGAATGTTTGCCTTATGTTCATACACATGATTTAGAAAGCAGAATATTTTGTTGACATAGCTCACAGCCTAACCAGACAACATGCACATACACCCTGCTCTAAATTTTCATCACTAACCTTTACAATTTTGTTTACTTTGGCTGAAGATGTTGGAGGTGGAGGTGTTTCCGGACTGGGTTCAATTTCTTCATCGGGTACGAGATCAGGGTTAAGTGAAAAGATGCTCTCCAGGTCAATCTGTTTTTTTTTTTTTTTTTTTAAGGGGGAAAAAAAAAGTGTGTATTTTGAGCATTTGACAGTTAAGTACTTTTTAAATAAATTTGCAGAGTAACTCTTAACTGTTAGCCTAATGATGGTACTACCTTGCAAGTGAGATTACTGCCTTGCAAACTAGATTACCTAGAATTATAATCTACGTGTATTTAAAGAATTTCTCTTAAAATAGTATTTTTGTGGTCTTGATTATGTGAATTACTTATGACAAAGTGATCAATAGGATCACACAATTAACTAGCATAACAACTTAAAAATTTTATGAACTGAGTTAAAAGAATAATATTATTTTCATATACATGCTAATATTTTCATTATCTAATAACTATTAACAATCATATAAGAGACATAGGAAGAATCTATCTTTCAGTGAAAATTATTAATCATTTGAAAAAGTGTTCAGGGAATCATAGAGAGTACATGCATCCTATAAAAATGATATACTCTTCTATTTTGTTTCCTATTCTGACTCTTGATTGCAGGACTAGAAATAAACAGTGATCATACCTCTTTGCCTTTTGTATCTCCATTTTCTATCCATTCAACAGTTACACTTTCATTATCTTCATTTAAAGATGTTACCATTGCTTGATGTATTCGACCTAAATGAGAATAAAATACATTTAAAAATGTCACAAATACGGCATCCCTAAACACTGTCAAATACAATATTATAATCTTAAATTATTTTTTAAAATAAATGTGCTACCTTTCTCACAAGGATTTCCACAAACTCAAGATTAGAGAATGAATATGTTCATAGGGCCATACATTGGTACTTGTCAAAACCATGAATTCATGAAATTGTATGAGACAGAGAAGTTTATTTTCAGCATATATGATAAACGGTCATACAACTCCTACTTGAATACCTTTAGTGGTATGGAGAGAGAGTTAGGAGTGTAAGAGATTTATCAGAGGGTAATGTCTGTGAACAATAAAAGGGAGAGGAAACAGGACTGGGCATGGAAAACCTTCAGACCATGATGCTGCAGATATGAAACCTGTGAAGGAAGGGGTCTAGGAAATAGAATGGAACAGAGAATGCCGTAGACCTGGATGTTTATCTGACAGTCTCAGCCAACCCAGCAGAGTTCCACAGCAAAGACTGCCCATTGGAGTCCTGGGCTGAGTCAAAATGGACAAACTCTTGTAATCCTGCCAAGCTTAGTCAATGGGTGGTGGCTTCCCATGAAGTGTGAGCCCTCAGCTCTAATGCTACAGATCCTGAAGTTACTAACAGCTGGAGGCTGCCAGCTCACTGTGGTGCAGGCCTAGATACCATTAGATTCTGGCAGGAGCTATCACTGTTGCCATCAAGCCCCAGCAGTCAATTTCACCTTCAATTCTCTAGGTAGTTTCACAACAGTAATATCCACTAGTGGGGGCAAGATTACTACAACAAAGATTTTGGGAAAAGTGAAGTATTTCAATATAGGATACTGATATGATTTCATCAATATGAAATGACTCCAAGAAAATGTATTTAAATACCTGATTGCCAAAAAGAATAACCCTAAGCAGGAAATGACATGAGTATTTATGAATATTCATAATACAAATATTCAAATCCCATAAAGAATAACCCTAAGCAGCCACCCTTGCAGCACTGCACTCCCTCTCTCTGCCTCTAGTGACCTAGAGCTAGGTTAAGAGATCACAAGTTGAAAAGGACACTGTCCTTCAGATAGATTGCCAAATAGGCAGATACCAGCTGCAAACTTGGGAGTCTACGTGACATCCTTACTTCTGACCTGCTAATTGCAAATCCAGGGTTAATAAAATCATAAGTAAATAAACAGAAAGGGATATATATATATATTTCTCAAAGGAGGCTGTGGCTAAGGTTGCTGAAGAAATTATACATATAGAGAGGGGTCTCCATGCAGTCGCCTACAAAATTACGCCAACAATGAGAACTTGAAAAGCATGTGATGTTCCACAAGGTGAGACCCAACATTTCTACTGTTCAGCATCTCCGACAGTATTCGAATGTTCTTGGGCAGGGAGGAAGGAGCTTTGGTGGTATAGTAGGTAAGGCATTTGGCTGCTAATGAGGAGGTCAACTTTTAAACCCACCAGATGCTCCAAGGGAGGAAGATGAGGCAAGCAACCTACTTCTGTCAAGATTTAAAACCTTGGAAACCCAATGGGGGTTGCTATGAGTCAGAACTGACTTGATGGCAGTGGGTTTGTTTGGTTTCAGCAGGGAGGAGGGGCAGAGTGTACTGACAACCAGGCTGTGATTCAAAAGGTAGACAAGTGGGGCAAAACGAGGGCTTAAGTCACAATTTGTTACTTTAATCAACAAAGACAGCCTAGAGAGAATGGCAATGCAAGACATAAAGAAAGAAATGTTAACACCCAGCATAAATAGTCATTTCAACACTGGCACCTCCACAACTTCAATTACTAATGCAGAAAGATACCCAGAAAGCCTTAAACCACAAGTTAAGAGTGAAAAGCAGCTGATCTACCAGCTGAGGCTAAGCTCTAGAGGCTGGGTAGGGCAAGACGGAGAAAATGTTGGTTTATCTCAACTGTAACCTAGCTACTCGTTCAACAAGAAAAAATGAATATGAAATTCCTGCAGTAAGAAATGAATACAAAGATCGAAGGTGAACAAAGCCTTACTTAAGTGCTTGCTTTTTTGCCAGTTGATGTGGTAACTAGAAATATCTGCAATACTATTTGAAGCATGGGTGTATTACCATCTTTACATCAAGAGATGTCTGCAACAAATGCTTTTTCTTAAGCTTTTCCCAATATACCTTTAAGGTATTTTTTTTGCTCCCTTAAGTTATTTTATATCAGATTCAGTTGAGACAGTCAAGTACCTCATTTTTTACTGTAATAAAAATGTATCACTTAATATTATCAAAAGTCAAACAGCAAGTACCTGTTAATAAAGATATGACAACAATAAAAACAAGAGGGACAGATTTATGTGCAATTTCTTGAAGGAAAAAAATTACTCTGATTTGGTGATGAGATACAGACATTAGCAACAAAGTTTTCTGCCTGGATGATGGTACTAGCGGCAGAACAATGAAATACTTTATCCTACATCTAGTTGTTAATAGGGAACAAAGAAGGGATGGTAACAAGACTACCAGAGATACAAAACTGTAACGCAGTGACAAATCAGGATTGGAAATCTCTTCCCCAGAACCTGGGAAAATCTTCACACTTGGCTTCTAGATACCATCCCATTACTCTGGGCCATTTAGAGAAAATTCCTGTGCTCCATATTTACTAAATCATTGTCCTTTAACTATCTTTGATTCCTCATCTACTTTATTGTGAATTATATCACTTATACTGGTGTGACAGTCATCATAACAAAGAATGTTTCAAGATCTATCCTGAAGTATAATGTTGTCAGTGACAGAACAATATCCATACGCATACAAGGAAGAACAGTTAATACTGTTGTTGCTGTTGTTAGGTGCCGTCGAGTCGTCTCCAACTCATAGCGATCCTATGTAAAGCTGAATGAAACACCGCCTGGTCCCGCATCAACTCCACAATCCTTGTTATACTTGAGCCCATTGCTGCAGACACTGTGTCAATCCATCTCGTTGAGGGCTTTCCCCTCTTTCGTCGACCCTCCCTCCACCTTACCAAGCATGCATGACATGCTTCTCCAGGGAATGGTCTCTTCTGACAAGATGATCAAAGTAGGTGAGACGAAGTCTGGTCATTCTCGCTTTCAAGAAGCATTCCGGCTGTACTTCTTCCAGGACAGATTTGTTAGATCTTTTAGAAGTCTATGGTACTTTCAGCATTCTTCACCAGCACAACGCAAAAGCGTCAACTCTTCTTCGGTCTTCCTTATTTACTGTCCAGCTCTAACATGCGTATGAGGTAAATGAAAGTACCATGGCCTCTGTCAGGTGCACCTCAGTACTCAAGGAGACATTTTTGCTCTTTAGCACTTGAAAGAGGTCTTTGCAGCCAAGGTGCCCATTGTTATATGTCCTCTGATGTCCTGACTGCTGTCTCCATTGGCATCCATCGTAGAACCAAGCAATGTGAAGTCTCTGACAACTTTAATCTTTTCTCTATTTATTGTGATGCTGCTTGCGGTGTAGTAAATTACCTGGTATGGCTTGTCTAGCCATATGTCTTGGGCTGGGAGAGAGACTGAGCGGTTTTCCTGAACTCAAATTGTAGCCTGGTGCTTCCCTAATAAACCCCCATAATCTGTGAGTTCTGTGTGGCCACTTCAGTGAATTACTGAACCCAGGAGAGAGGTGGTGGGTGCTTTGGGAGGAACGGTTGGTGAAAGGGCTGGAGGGAGGCAGCATGTCTGGCCTTGCAGTAATAGGCCTTGGGCTATTGATGGTGATTCTGTCTTCCTCTTGTGGGGTTAGAGGAGGTCAGGAGATGTGGCCTCCTTGTCTTTTTGGCACTGCTTATAGGTCCAGTTGTGAGGATTTTTGTTTTCTTTATATTGAGATGCAATCCATACTGCAGACTGTTTTCTTCAGTCTTCATCGGTGCTTCAAGTCATCTGCACTTTCAGCAAGCAAAGTTGTTTTGTCAGTGTATCACAGGTTGTTAATGAGCCTTCCTCCAATCCTGATGCCACGTTCTTTTTCATATAGTTCATTGTCTCAGATTATTTACTCAGCATACAGATTGAATAAGTATGGTGAAAGGATACAACCCTGATGCACTCCCTTCTTGATTTCAAACCATGCAGTGTTACCTTGTTCTGTTCAAATGACAGCCTCCTGATCTATGCACAGATTCCTCATGAGCACAATTAAGTGTTCTGGAATTCCATTCTTCTCAGTGTTCCCTATAATTTGTTATGACCCACACAATCAAAAGCTTTGGCATAGTCAACAAAACACAAATAAACATCTTTCTGGTATTCTTTGCTTTGAGCCAAGATCTATCTGACACCAGCAATGATATCCCTCATTCCACATCCTCTTCTGAATCCAGCTTGCATTTCTGGAAGTTCTCTGTCAATATACTGCTGCAACCATTTTTGAATCATCCTCAGTAAGATTTTACTTGCACGGGATATTAATAATATTGTTTGATAATTTTCACCTTCTGTGGGATCACCTATCTTTGGAATGGGTACAAACATGGATCTCTTCTAGTCAGCTGGTGTGTTGTTACATTTGTGTGTCAACTTGGCTAGGCCTGTTTGAGTGGCTGGGCAGCTGGATGTAGTTATTCCCCATGGTAAGACTGGTAATTAACTCCATGGTGGAATGTATTAAAGCAGCTGAGTAGCTGCTTTGGGTACGTGGTCTGCTTCCTGTACATAAGAAACAGCTTTGGGAATGGGAATGGTCTCTAGTTTATGGCATGCTTGAACCCTGCATGTAGCCAAGTCATTGTTCAAGAGTCTGCCATGCTCTGCCGACCTTGGGACTTTCAATGGACTTGAAGTAATGGCCTGCTGTGTGGTCTGGTAACATCAGGACTGTGACTTTTTACTTGTCAACTTTGGGCGTGTCAGCCTCAGCAGCCAGCAGCTGAGTAGAGAAAAGGCTCTAGAGTTCCAGTGGGCCAGGCACAAAAGGCAGAGCTGAACTCAAAGGTTGAGGGGTTTTCACCTAGCCCCTGGAGCCTAGCA